TAAATGTGCTTCTGAACTTGGCTAGACTAATGGCCTCATTCTGCCTTTATATGAGACCACAAAATTAGCTTCTTGCCAGTGAAATGTTTGCTCCGAGGTCATGATCCTTGGCATGGAGGATTGCTACTCTCCCCCCAGCGCCCGCGCACGCACGCACACACACACACACAGTTGGTCTGGCATCCCCTTTCCCCACCATGCAGATAGTCTGGCACCCCTCCTGGAAGACTGGAATGGGAAGACAAGTGAAATGAATGAAATGCTCATTAATGTCTAATAAGCTAATTTCTGAACTATTGGAGCAGGGGATACTGTGGACTGTGCTCTGCTGCCTCAGAACAAGCCCTCCCTGGTCTCTAACCTACCTTGACAAACAATCTACATTAAGAAAGAGTAGCACCTTCTAACTCCAGCTCTGCCATCACCTTAGAGCTCCCCTACCCCTCCAGTGGCTGTGACCCCTGACCATCCCCCCTTTACTTCCAGCTCTGGGACAGCGGTATAATCGAGTGCACTGTGACAGGGGTGGGTTTCAGGACAGATGAGGCCTTATAACATGGGAGTGACTTCAGACAAATGACAGTGGCCTCTGACCTGAATCTCTCCATCTGTAAAACTAGTGATGAAGATAGCAACCCACCACCACAAACCTGCTCTAGAAAAGGCTCATGGCTCACAGTCGGGTTGTGCTGTGGATACTATTGCTATTGATTTTTCTATCTGATTTGATAAACATCACCTCTGGAGGCACAGAAGGTCCCTGACAGTCCAAGCAGGAGCTCTCCCGTGGCCTTACACATTGAGCTACCTGCAGGCCAAACTCCAAACCTAGGCTGCTTCTGAAGGGTGAAGATTTTTGCCTGGCTTTTGGACTGTCTCTTTCTGCTGGACCATGCAGGTTTTAGCATAATGGTGCTATCTTCATAGAAGTAAATTAATTACTATGATTTCTTTTTGTGACTTTGCACTGGGAGGTTTCAGCAGGACATAGAGCCTGGGCAAGGGGAACAGCCCTGCTGGGGTAATGACTGCAATAAAACTGAACTTTAAGAGACTGGGCTGTGGATGAAGAAGAAACTGGGAAACTCAAGCTAGGGGAAACACAGCTAAAAATCCCACTTGCTTTACAAAGAGACCACTTCAGATATAGAGTCAGACTAATCTAGGAGGGGGCTGAAACAGATAGTGGTAGGTCAGATGTGTTAGGGCTGAAACTCATTTCTTTTAATGCACCAAGGTCATAGTTACAGTAGTTTGTTTGTGGCACTTACACAGTTTGTGATCCTGTTCCACAGAGAGAGAGGAGAAGAGCCCATATTTTACCCTGATAGGCAGGGTGCCTGTCTAGAAAGCAAGGAGCCCTGGCCCTCGGCCCCTGTCTCACAAAGAGAGTTAGAACCTGCATTTATCTGACACCTGCCCAGCACAGTGCTTAAACTACCAGGCCACAGGTGAGCCATTACTTATTGCTATCTCTAGTCCTCCTCTTGAAGCTGGGGTACCGTATACTGCATTTAATAGTCAATGAATGGATGGAGAAAAGTGGGGAAGTTTCTGCTAATTGGGAGCAAAGGTCTACGCTAGAACTAATGACCTTCTCCTTTCCAGACCAACAGCAATCCCACTGTCAGGCAACCTTTTAGTTTGCTCTGTTGGCTGCCCAGGGGAACAGCTGGATAATGCATAACTTCATGTCCCTTCCAGCCCTACTTCTCCATGATTCGACGTAGGTCCAAACATATTGTGGGTGATGGGGAGCTCAGATCTAGCTCTTCTGCCTTCTGGGCAAGTGCCTTAACAATAGGCCTACAGAGCTGAAACAAGGCAAGGCCCCTCCACCCACAAGTCACATGTTTTTGGCCAGCTGCAATTCTGTGACTCACATTCACCCGGGGGGGTGTGCATACAGGACAGTGTACCTACCTGACACTGGGCACAACCCACTGCCCATGCTCAATAGCCACCTGGAACAGGTTTGCTAACTGTGCACAAGTGCCAAAAACAGCAGTTACGTGGCTGGACAAGTGCCATTTGGCTGCATAAAGTGAAATAGGAGTCTACCCTGTGTGCCCTCAAAAATGATTCTCATAACAGCCGAGCCTTCAGGAAGGAGACGGGGAATCAGCAGTTGGGTAGCAAACTGCCTGCCTCAGAAATCCCAAAGCCCTGCTGCATTTTCTGTCCTCCCCCACTCCCCACAAACTGGAGCTGTACTAGGGAGGAACGACTTTCAATATGGGGCTGGTCCTAGGGAACCTCAGCCCTGCAATTAAAGGGCAGAAGGGCACTCACAACGTCTCTGCACAGTGCCCATAACAGATTACAGGGGCAGTGTCTGCCAGTCTGCATGGCTCTCTCCAGCTAAAGTGGGGAGGAGCTGAGGCTGTGAATTCTAAGCCTAGGTCCTTTATATCCTAAGTGTGTATGTGTGGGAAGAGGCAGGGGCATTTGAACTTTATTTTTGAAAGAAATTTTTCATGTTCCAAGCCAAATCAGCCAAATCAAGTCCAAACCCATGAGTCAGTCCAGAACCATACATGGCCCTACAACCGGCAGACATCTTCGTATAGAGGTTGGTCCAACTGTGTTGTCCAAGCCTGACTTGGGATCCTGTCTCGGAGACCCCTTCCCTCTCCCTGAGGCAGAGAGGTTGGGGTCTCCCTGTCTCACTCCATTCTCTCAGCCCCTTCCACCTCTCTTCTCTCTGATTTCCACTCACTAGGTCCCTCAGGGATCTCGTGCTCTCATTTATCATCCATCCATTCACCCAGTTCCCCAGCTCGTGCCACCTCACCAGCTCCCTGGCTGTTCCTTATTCTCCCCTGTCTGCCTGACTTTCTGCTCCCTCCTGGCCTGGCAGATCTGGGTCTCCATGCTGCCCGCTCCTTCACTTCTAATGCCCAGGCCACCCCCCTTGCCCCACCATCCCAATGTCTCCTGTGCTGCACATTTCAATGTCCTTGAAACAACCAAGGGCTTTATAGCTCCATCCTGGCTGGGCTGTGGCTGCTCTGCCAGCAGGACGGGGAGAGAAGCAGCTGAAGGAGGGTAAAAATAGAAAGTGGTTGAGTGAAACAGCCTTAAGGGAACCTTCCGGGGCTGGAAATCATTAGGGTGACTCCCCAGCTAAGCATTTGTCACGGGGGTGGGAGCGAGAGGGGGAGGGGGCACTATGCCAAGCACAAGCATCATGTAGGCATTTGGGACTCTGATCTCTCTCTCTTCTCTTCCTCAGCTCCTTTCACTCCCTCAGTCTCCCTCACTCTTTCTGCCTGCCTCTCCCTGACACACTTCTCTTCCTCATCCCCTTTTCCCTCCTCCTTCCCCCTTTCCAGCCTGCTTGTGTCTCCACCAGCCCATCTGCCTCCCTCCCCATTTACACGTGCAGCCAGCTCCCCACCTGTTCCTCGTGCTTCTCACGCAGTGCGTGGATGCTGGCAGAGGTAAAGGCAGCGCAATGCGGGGCATGTATTTGTGAGTGTGCGTGCGTGTGGGTTAAGGACATGGTACTGACATCAGAGAGACAAAGCTGGAGAAACGAGTAACACAAAAAGAGTTTAAAAACCATCCCCCCGCTCCCCACTTTTGCTTGCAAGGAGTTAATGCTCTGATCTGTTGCGTGAGTTCTGATGAGAAGCTGGCTGACACACAGCGCTGGAATAATGAAACGTAATACACATTAATAGGACCTCCCACTGTTTGATCGCTTCTGCTCCAGTAGCCCCATTGAAGATTTCACTTTTCTTTTAACAGTCAGAATAACAGAATGTGACATTAAGCCTTTTACATGCAGCAATTTATTTTAAAATATTGGGGCACTCAAAACAGTATCCAGAATGTTAAATAAGATATGCATGAGATGGAAATCAGAGTGGCGCTGCAGTAAGGAGACAGGAGTCAGACGAAGCCTTTCACAGGCAAAGGCAGCTCCACTTTTATTCTTAATTGCTATTTAAAGCACAAAGAAATAGTCAAGCTGGAGAGAAAAAAAAAACTCTCTCTGTGCTTCGGGGGACTGGAGTGTCCGGGCCTCTCAGCTACTCTTCACTTCTCAGACCTGGAGGGGGAGAAAACCATCATTTCTTTCCACCTCCAACATCATGCAGATAATGTCATCCAGCTGGCTTTGCCCCCTCAAAGCCAGTGGGTTCTGCATTACAGATAATAGGCACATAGCTTGATCCAGTCCATAATGAACCCTTGGAAAGGTTCCCCAGTTGTCTGTAAAACAATACTGTATGTTCATATCATGCCTTTATTCACAAAAGATCTCCACATGTTTTGCAAACTGCTTTTGGATATAAGTTGTTTTGCTTTTACACTGAATTGCAGCTGCCTCTGGGGTGGAATACAGCAAGAGGTTAACACTGCACAGCAGCTTGTGATAGAAAACAAACAGCACCATGCCAACACCTCAGCTAGTGTAAACTGGAATATTCCCATTGACTTCAAAGGAATTATGCTGATTTACCCCAGATGAGCACCTAGCTGAGCACACCCAATAGCATTGCTAGGGCAGTAAAAGGTTGGCACTAGAATATAACTCTCAAAATCTATATTGGGCCAGGATGTATGTGCTCACTACAGTAGTAGTTTGGGGTACCTGGAGTTTTCAATGCGTGAGATACAACTGTATCCTCCCCTATTTTATTCTAGTACAGACTTCTTTTCAAAAGGCCCTTTTGTTGAACGTATTAAATACATATGCTTTACCTAGAACAGCAGTCCCTCAGGTAAATCTCTCATAAGAACCCATGCTCCCTCTGTATGAACCGTCTCTCTCCCCCACTGGTATTAGTGGAGCAATCAGACACCTTGGCCTTTCTCTTTTCCAAGGTGCAGCATTTCCCAAATCTCAACATGCAGATCTTATGCATTTTGGATCATTTCTATTCACCTGATTGACTCAGAGACCTGTCACTGGTGCTATGGTCTGGTGAGTAAATATCTCATTCAGCACACGCACCAATTTGGGAAATGCATAATACCTGCCTGACAGGCTGTAATGGCTTGGAGGGGGGTGTTGAGATCCAGTGATGATGAAATCAACTCTTCCACAAGGCAGGCCTATGACTTTGGAGAGCTGATTGCACCACACTGCAGGAAGATAAAGTAGATACACATTTCATGGTCCCACCATGGCACCAGGCATGGATCAGCTGAGTCACCAGCATGTAGAAGGCTCTGCATGGCCAGGGAGTAGCAGGACCCTGATAAACTTCTTCCTAGCTAAGGGGTTTCAGCCTTGTTTGCCCTACTGACTGCCCTACCTGGCATGAAACCTGCTGTACTCGCCTGCCCCACCCCACCCAAAATCTCTTCCTTGTGCCTCTCTATCCAGAAGGAGGGAATGATGCCCCCTCAGCCAGCTGTATTCGGGGTTTATTTGAAATCCAGTCCATTCTCAAAGAGCTTGACCTATAAATAGTTTCAACACTCAGGCCAAGTTGTGATGTCCGTCAGCTCATGCTGAAAAGTGCCACACCTGATACACGGTCCCACTGGCACCCTGAAAGCCACACTGCACTAATTGTTAGCAATATCAGAAAAGCCACGAGCACCATTGCATCAGTCTCACCAGCCACTCAGAAGCCACCTAGACATCCTGTGATGCATGTGGCAAACCTCTTTTCTATAAGCTTTGCATCCTGAGGCCAGTATAGCATACAACCTGCTGAGTCTAATGCTGCTTGTGTACCTGCCTTATTAAAAACGCTACTGTAGCCACCTGATGTGCAGTGTGTTCCTGCGTGCTGGTGCCCTGCTATGGCCAGACCGCTAGTGTACATCTGATAAAGTGTCCCTGACGCTGGAACAACTCCACGATGCCAGTGTCATGAGGGCAGCACCCAAGTCAGAACAACTCAGCCATTCCCAGCAGCACCAAAACCACGTTTTCAAAAACAGTGAGCTAGGCCCAAAACATGTTGACGTGGACCCAAAAAGCACAATACCTTTTTTAAAACAATACATTTTCATTTCTTTTTATTTCCCTTCCAGTTTTCTGTGCCCTTACTTATGTCTTCTTACATACATCTTCTATAAGGCTAGAAATGCACTTATTAAAAAAAAAAAAAAAAAACAGCC